ATACTTTACAGAGAACGTTCTTAACCCGTTATTAAAACAAGCTTACCATTTGCGCGTCCTATATTCAAAGGGGCGATCTTTGAATGTAATCCATACCTTTTTCTAATTTTAGTTCGCTCAAAATGCGTCCCGTAATTCTCTTAACAAAATAAAATTGACAAGTGAGTTCTAAAAAAGATTAAACGACTTTCATACTTATTCTCGCCCAAGCGTCCCAGAACACGTTTTCACGATCTTTGTAATCCACAAACTTTTCCTGCTTAAAAAGTATTCGACTTTTTTGTGTGCGCAACTTCATTCTCCCGAGAAAAGAAAAGAAAAAAAATTCTTTAGTTCACTTTTACGAGCATTCCGAAACGTTAAGGAAGAATTGCTTTGTTAGCCTGTTGGCGGAACTTTACGAAGGTGAGATTTTGGAGATCATTGTTGTTCGCTTATTGTTGTTAGTATTGGCGAGGGCAATGAACTCTCGATCAGTTCCTCTCTACAAAAATTGGACAAGCGAGTTCCACGAAAGGTAAAACATTGAAAAAAATGAGACACACATGGTTAGCAGGGTTGAATGGGATGGGTGATTTTGTCGTCTATTGTTTTTGTTTGGCCTTTAATATTCCATTGCCAGTAAGCACGCGAGAAGATAAATATTGCTAGAAGAGTTATAAAAAAATTCCAAAGTTCAGCCAAGTTTTCATGACGAAAACGCCTTTACGCTACAATACAATACCTATTGTTTTCGAATTGGACCCACTTTTGTTGATACGGTGAAAGCTGACAAGACATTTGGATCGACCCTCAAATATAGCCTGACGACGGCAAGTGGGTTTTGATGTTTAGGAACGACGGTGCTTTATCAGAGCAGCCAAGTTTCGTGCTTGACGAAGAATTTTTAAAATCAATTTCGCACTCCATTGGCCAGAAAGTTACGAAAAGGAATCAAGAGTTACTTCCGATTTTTTTTCCACAAAACAGCTAGAGGTTTGCGTAAAATCATGTTCCTTTCTTTTCTTAGAGAAATCACGTAGTTTTGCGTACTTTTGGTATTCCAAACTTTTATACTCTAGAAGGCATGCCTTTTTGGGTAACCTATATAAAAATATATTTCCATGCGTTAAATTCAATAAAGGGTAAGATAATTAGACAACTATTTGTGAAGCCTTGCTTTTATTATTCATATGTAGCTGAAAGTCAATCCACAGTTGTTCTGCCTGGGGAATAACATGGATAAGAATCCTGACCGGCAGTGTGTAGTTCCAGGAAATATCCATACCCCCCCCCCCCTCACGGAGGGCACTTTTGCTTTAGACCCACATGGGGGACCTTAAAGGCATTAAATAGTTGAACCGACTCATGGGAGACCTTTCTTACAAACACAGTTTTTACAACAACGTGCTATAATAATACGCGTGCTCCTAAAAAAGACGCTATTTTACTCTTTTTTATTTTTCATTCACGGTGTCTGATGATCTCCAGGTCGTTCTTAGCTAATACTTAACCGTAGAGGCGATACCTTACACTACTGGCCACACGAATAATGTCGCGTAAGCTGTGAAAAAACATTTAGCAGACTGTAGATTAAATGAACAATAATACTTGTTTTGAAACACCGGTACCGGTAAAATACCTGATAGCTTGCTCACCAGAAAAGCTGTTATTCATCAATAACTCACAAATCTTACTCAGACCCCCTGGAAAAAACCTCTGTAAGGCCCACCCCCTCGAAAATTTCCCTCTTTTGGAGCCCCTCCCTTCAGAATTTCCGTTGCCCTCCGTTGAGGGGCGGGGGGGGGGGGGTGTAGGGGGGGAGGGGTATTTTCTGGGGCTACACAATAGGCAAACCAGCTAGCTACTTACAGGCGTGGCCGAGGGGTTGAACTTAGAGCTACCGAAGACAAAACCAGCGTACGGTCAGGGCAGGAACTTAGAGCCTCTAGATAGCTAGTCCACCACCCTGGCCACCCGGCCACATTGCCTCACTTATTTTGTCTTCCCCTCCATTTGTGTATTTCCCTTCGCGTTGTATAATACAAAGTGAACGTACCCTTCGTTCTTTTTTAGGGCGGAAAAGATAAGACAGCTGTGTTCGGTAATGGGTATAAAGTGGATTCTCGCCAATCCAAACTATGATCCAGACCGCGCCTATGAACTGACCACAGACAATGTTAAAAAGATCTTAGCTATTCACATGAGGTTTAGGTAAGACTTCCTTTTCTGTATTTGAGGTTGTGACCCTCCTCGGGATTTCAGGAAATAAGATGAATGCAAGGGCACGCGAGTCATGACACGCACGATTTCCATGTCATAATGTCACGAAAATGCGCATATAGGGGAGCTCCGCGCGCGTGCGAGCGTAGCCCCATTGCTAGGTAAATCTATCCATCCTAGAAAATTTGGTAATCACGTGACTGTACACCGACCGCCCGACCGTCCGTCCGGACCACAGGGAAACGAACCTTTCGAACAACTGGGCCCAGTATATCTGTCTGTTTACGTATATTTGTAAGATTTGAGACAATGATCTGACCTATACTATTATCAGGTTTGATATACTGGGCCCAGTTGTTCGAAAGGTGGATAACCCAATACTCCTTAAATCCAATTAATTCAATATGGCTGCCGTATCGGTAGAAAGGTCTATTGGACAGCCTCGAAACATAATTTTATGCAACACACGACAGTCCTCAGTGACAGCCAATGTACACGTTACATTCCTCTGTCTAAAAGGAAGGCTGGATTTTTTGTGATCGACAAGTTTACTTTACAAGTAAATCTTGGCGAAAACTCTGGTGGCGTTTAAACCAGCCTTTTAAATATACTATTTATACATCATGTCTGAGGAAAACGGTACTATGAGGCGCTGTTTTTTTATCATATAGACCTCGGACAGAATGTGTTCTTTTTTTGCCCTATTGAAACCTATAATTCTGCTGTTTTTCACAATTTTGCAAGACAAATTGCACTCATTCAATATCCAGGACGATCAAAGCACGCGCTTCCTTTGCACAACAAATTATAGAATTCGGACCACATTATAAAACGTTTTCATGAAGGGAATTCCATAATGCCGGGACTGTTCAGTCAGAAACATCTGCTCCTATGTGATATGCAGGGTAATAATTATGGGCTTTTAGTGAAAACGATCAAAAAAGTTCCAAAATCACCTATACGGCCAGCCAGGCGGGTTCTCACTTTTGACAAGCACCAAATTTGCAGTGCGAGCCGTGAAGTGTTCGAGTGATTGAACGATTGAATGGTTGAGAAATGCGCCGCTTGTCAAAGTCATTGGAAATCCAATTTCGGATGCCATCGTTTTCGTTGTTCACCTTGGTTGATGCATAAGACAAACTGTAAGAGGGTTTAAGAGGTTCAAACGATTCTGTTTGTTTGTTTTCTGGTTTCATGAAGTTGAGCGTAGTTTATGCGGCTAGTTTACGTATGTTTGTAAGATTTGAGACAATGATCTGACCTATACTATTATCAGGTTTGATATACTGGGCCCAGTTGTTCGAAAGCTGGATAACGCTATACACTGGATAAATCTCTATCCAGTGGATAACGCAATTGATTTTCCCAATGCTTGATCCACTGGCTAGCGATTTATTCGGTGGATAGCGCTATCCAAGGTTTGAACCGTAGCCAGGACTTTAAAAAGCCTTTAGACATTTTCTGACCGCAAATAGAAGGAAAAAATTCCGAAAAATAATTAGTTACAATTTTGGCTGTAAAAAGAAAGCCTTGAGCGATTTTTTTGTCTCCAGTTCATCTTGAAAAACAGCAAACACCTGGAAGTCGGCTTAAAACATGACTCAGGATTTTTAGAGACACTTAAATCTCAATACTTCGTAAATGAAAATTGTAGTCTCTGTAAACGCTTCACCGAATTATATTTCTTTCACTGATTGTTAGTAGTCCCTCTTGCAATTTTAATCGTTGTGCCGGTTGTTTTCAGTCGTACATGATCGTTTGCAGGAGCACTAGTACTCAAAATGCCGCGCGAATCAAACGCTTTTAAAGAGTACACAAAAGCCTAATAAAACAGTTAAAACTTTTAAAAAAAAATAAACATAATAAATCCTTTATTATGCTGAACCGTAACTCTTTTAATGTTCCGGAAACACGTGACATCTCGCCCTGCAAATTTGGCGCTTGTCAAAAGTGAGAACCGGCTGGCCGTATAGGTGATTTTGGAAAATTTTGGAACGGTTTCGCCAAAAGCTTATCATTATCCCGCGTAAAAGATGGAAAAGTCCCGACATTACGGAGTTCTCTTCATGAAAACGTTTTATAATGTGGTGAATTCTATAATTTGTCGTGCAAAGAAAGTGCGTGCTTCGATCGGCCTGAATATTTTCAAAAAGTCCTGAATTTGTGTTTCAAAATTGTGAAAAACTGCATTCTGTCCGAGGTCTGTATGATAAAAACGGCGCCTCATAGTACTGTTTTCCTCTGATGTGATGTATAGAAAGCATAAAAGGCTGGTTTACACGTCAGCAGATTTGTTGGCAAGATTTTGTAAAATAAACTTGTCGAACACAAAAAATTCGGCTTGATTTTTTATTTTGGCCTCTCTTTTAAACAAAGGAATGCAACCTATAAATGAAAAACATGTAAATTGGGAGCCACTGAGCACTATTAACTTGGTGTAAGATTTGTTTCACTCTTGGACTGTTTGCAAATTTTTTTTCCCTAAAATCTCTTCGCCTTTTCCTCAAAAAGCACGAATGTCATTTTAAGTAGTTAATCTCATCGCTAATGATGAGCTTGGGAGCAGGTGCCTTAAAGGTTAGTGGGGGGCCAAATGCAATAAGCAGAGAGGAGGTATCCATGGCAACCCTGAAAGCGGCCACTAACCGGCACCGTCACTCTGAATAAATTCAATGGAGATACTTACCTAAGAGAATCCTTACCTGAAAAAATACTCACGAAACCACCAGGCAGGGAGGGAAGAGAGGGAGCAAGAATCCGCAGAGATTCGCAAGACGGCAAAAATTGATCCGCTACGATCAGCAAGCAAAGCTACAATGCAAAGCAACACTAGTAGAAGGGCACACAATGAGCCCTACAATTCCCCGCGGGCCGCCCCGTAGGTCACACACTGAAGTGGGAGAAGGCCGCTGGCGACCTCGCTCGAGTTTAACTTTGCCTAAATGATATTTAGCCACATTTAAGCTCATCGCTAATGATGAGCTTGGGAGCAGGTACCTTAAAGGTTAGTGGGGGGCGAATGCAATAAGCAGAGAGGAGGTATCCATGGTAACCCTGGAAGCGGGAACCACCCAAAGGAACCCGTTTCCAGGTGTTTGGAGAACGAAGGGACCCGTCAACAGGGTGACTTGGTACCTCCGATCACCCAAACAAATCCCCAAGCACCAAACAACTCCCCCAGCTACGCAAATTGCAAAGGCACTAACCTAGCTGATCCGCGAACTGAACTAGGCGAAAGGTCCTGAACCAGGACAGATGGCTGCCAAGGAAGCTACCCCGGGAAGCAATGAGAACAGTCTGCATGGAACCGTGGAACGTGCGGAAGCTAGTTTTTTGTGAGTGTGCAGCTAACGAGTCAGCCGTTGTCCTAATACAAAGCTGATAAGTGTTGTTGGGCCAATGGCCCATTGATTCAGAATCCCATTGCGAGCAGCGACAGTGGCAGCTCCAATACGAAAGCTATGGGAGGAGGAATTGCCTGGTATCTGAGCTGAAGTCATGATCTGCCTGAGCCAATCTGTAAGAATATTGCGGGTGAGAGGCTGTCCATTCGCAAACAAAAACAAGGGGCCAGAAGCATCCCCCTTGAAGCAAGGAATGTTATCATAGTGTGCACTGCACAGAGAGGATGCCTGCCAAGGCCACTGTGATTAAAAAACAGCCTATCCGGGACGGGTCCGTCTTGGAGCCCTTGATTCCTATGCACATGGACGTTGGGGCCAGTGAAGAATACATTGCAATGTCCTTGACACTCAAGAAGAGGGATGAAGAGAAGCTAGATAGGTTAGGTACCATGAGCTCCGAAGCGTGCAGGAAGGTGAAGTACGCAAGAAACGAGCTGCCCAGAACATCTGATGATCTGGAAGGCCGAGATCCAAAGACTGCCAAATAACTAGTGGACAGAAGGACTAATGAACTAGCGATGGTGGTGAAAGACATTCGTGCGTTAAGGGACTCATTCGAGCCCTGATTGGATGAAGTCACTACCTTTAAACGTACCTGGCTCTAATTTTTGAGATCACAATTTTTTATATAGTCAGAACAGTTTAGAACTTGGAAGGACTTGGACAGAGAGACAATTTTCGTTTATTCGATTAATAGTTTTTGAATTCTCTTGGTAGTTTTTTTTTGTGAATTTGAATTCGGTCAAATTGTAAAATTCGTACCTAAGAGTTTGTGTACAATTTTTTAATATAGTTCATTCTCGTGAATAACTAGCATCAACTCATCTCATCCCTTATAAGCAGCCGCATGGAGGAAGGAATACCCTTACAACGCTTGATGCCATGAACGTCCCTCTGAAGGCGGAGACAATCTACAAGCAGATCTGAGCGCCCCTGAGCCATGTAGAGAGCTCTAATGCCTGATAAATTAACCTTAATCGACAAATGCTGGAGAGTCCTGGCCAGAAACATAACAACTACACAAAGCGCCCATTCGTCCATTGGGCATGGAGATCCTGATGGGTGCAATTTGCCAAGTTGTCGACAGAAGGAAATGAATTTCGCTTGGGCTGACGCATAGGAATGCCGAATCAAGGGAGCCAGGCCATGAGTAAGAAAGGAGTAACACTGCTGTTCTAAATCAAGGAAGTCAAATCTGTAAGCAGGTCGAGAGGGATCCGCATCGAAGTTGGATGAGGCTGGGTATTTGGAGCCAGCCGCCTGAATTCCTGCCAACGAAAATGAGAGAGAGCATCAGCAATCTGATTCGTAACGTCTGGCACATGTTTTGGAAAGCTATGAGCTGCCGCTGCGAGCAGCAAAATGCGAAGCAACGGCATTAAGCAGGGAACTTTAGAAGTCCTGGCATTCGAGATGTGGACGACAGCAAAGTAAAGTAAAACTTTATTTCAACAGGGCAGCCCATTCAGCTCTAAGGCTGCTCTCCATAGGGGCCCTGTATCTTAAAAAATTAATTAACATCAAGAATTTTCATGAACTATTACATTTAAAAAGCCTGTAATAAAAATACAATACTAAAATTTAAGAACTACATTAAAAGCCTAAAAATACAATGCAAAATCACATTTAAAGCCTAAAATATAATAAAATAACAAAGTTATGGTAAAAAAAATGTCTTGCTCGGCGGCAGAACGTTTGAATGTTTTCACTCTTCACAATGTTTAAAGGGAGTTTGTTAAAAAAAGAAGACAGAGAACGACGAGTTTAGCCTTGTGGTAAGAGCGTCTGCTGAAAAGAGTCGGCCAGTGCAGCTGCTCTATTGCTTCAGATGAGCGAGAGCAACGTGCGCTGTAGTCGATCTATATCTTGCTGTAGAAGGTTACTCCAGGCAATGTCACAGTAATCAAATAATGAAAGAATTAAAGCGTTGTGAACAAGTGCTGCTGCCTCTTTTTGACGAAACTTCTAACACGGCCCAGGATACTAACTCTTGACGCCACCTTTTTACACACATAGTCCGCGTGAGCCTTCCAAGTCATAAAGTTGTCGAACACCACGCCTAGGTAATCAAATTAGTTTCGCAAGATATGGACTTTCCGAGAAGAATAAGATGTAAAATGGAATCGCGCTCTTTATGCCTTTGAGATGTAAATAGTACACACTTAGCTTTTGAAACATTGAGAACAAGATTATTGTTTTCTAGCCATTCAGATAAACACTGAAGATCTTGGTTAATGTGAAAAATTAAATTGTGTACAGTTGGACCAGCAAGATATAAAACTGTACCGTCAGCGTACATATTTACAGAACAGTGTTTGACACAACGTGGTAGGTCATTAATGTAGACAATGAATAACAACGTCGTTGTCAGAGCGAAAGAGCACAAGCTTTCAGCACCAGTGGTGGCCCCAAACATGGGCAGCAATTGCTACTGGGAATAGCTCCTTGTAAGCGATAGACTGCTGCTGCGGAGAAGGAGCCCGGGTCCCAGCGAATCAGAAGCCCTTTAAGAACACTCCATAGAAAGAAATTGGTGGGAAACCGTGACCAGAAGCAGCAAGATCCAAAGCTTGAGAATGCAAACTGGACGCGAACGTCGTGGAAACGCCCCTAGCCACGCTTGAGGCTTCCGGAACGCTTATTGTAGATGTAGTTTACCCGGCTGCGAGCGCCTATTTAACGGCCGCGATCGCGGAGGCCAAAAAAGGCAAGGGACGGCACGTCCGGAGCGCTAGTCAGATGCGATGGGCTCCCAAACATTGTTCGCAGAAGAAGGAGGAACTCCTTGGATGGCGCCCGATGTCAAAGTAGGCAGTCGAGAATCCAGTGGCAAAAACAGGCCGCAAGGCTGTTGTTTGTGTCACGTAGAGGCATGCTGCGAGTAAAAACGGCGTGCAGGCTAACGGCAAAGACGGCAAGAATCCGCAATGATTCGCAAGAAGGTAAAAATTGATCCGCTACAATCAGCAAGAATCCGCAATGATTCGCAAGAACGCAAAAATTGATCCGCTAAGATCAGCAAGCAAAGCTACAATGCAAAGCAACACTAGCAAAAGGGCACACAATGAGCTCTGCAATTCCCCGCGGGCCGCCCCGTAACTTTGCTTAAATGATGTTTAGCGACATGCACTTTGGTTGTTCTGTTGTATTTCCTAACACATAATTCAACCTCTAACATAGTGAATACACAAATCAACAGGTGCAATATTCCTGTGATCGTCATGGGCGAGACAGGCTGTGGAAAGACTCGTCTAATTCGGTATATGTGCGGTCTACAGGCGGGTCCCCAGAAGAAAGGTCAACCAAGAACGCGAAATATGCTACTTGTTAAGGTAAGGTGGCTACCGGCCAGGAGCGTACTTTAGCTTAAGGTCGATACGAAGGACTAATTTGTATTGTAGAGTCTATTTTGTCGAGGTACATGGACAACGACCGTGGATGTCACGTTCATAATCAAATGGTCGGTCCAACTTGCAACTTAAAGGATCAACGGGCACAAAGCTTTTTCTTCTAATACGACTTTGTTGCTCTTTCTTATGATAAAATTTGTGCAAGAGGCTCGCATTGTACTGTTTTGGTAGCTCCGACACGATCTTGACAATTTGCGGGTCTCGTTTCCACATGCCTGGAAAATCCCAGACAACGGTGATTTGATTTATCAGATTTATCACCACAGTGAAAACCCGGAATCTTTATTATCGCAGGGTTACTTGGGGACAAATCGGGAGAATGAGGTCCTTTTTATTTTCCTGACACCTTCCAGATTTCTGCAGTGGTTGCCGATATTTCCCGAAATTCGAAACTCCAATTTGTATTGTCAGGGATGCCGGTGATCGATATGAGGGATCACTTTTGCATGGACCCAATCCGTTTTTCTGTAGCCTTTGCCATCATAAATCAAAATGGCGTCTGGGACAGAGTGAGATTTTCCCGACATATCGGGAGCTATAACCGACCGCGACATTTGCCATTCGCCAAAAATTGTTACTGCCCATTTGTTCTTCTATTTGGTTGAAGAGGGAATAGCTTTTTCGACTAACTCGCGTTCTTCGTAAACCGTTTTCGGCTCCCTAAATCTTGCCTCTCCATCTTCTCTCATGGTCAGACACCAACCGCACTAAAACAATTAATCATGTATGTTGAAGTAATGTTACGTTATATGACAAGATTGCATCGCTGCATAAATTATTGTTCTTTCATGTATCACTGCATAGTTTTTTATTGTTTCGTTTGAGAAGTCATCTCAAAAACTCGTGCTTCGGGTTTCATCAGAGGTTCCAAACACCGAAAAACGGCCGAGTGCTTTTATTGTGTCCTGATGAAACCCTCGCACTCGTTTTTGATATATTACATCAAACCATGCTTATGGTAGTCGTCTGGCGTTTTGCAGACACCACTTCATTTTTTAACGAGGCTTGCCTTTAACCGTTCTCTCTTATTTCTAGGTTCATGGAGGCACCACATACAAAGACATTCAACAGAAAGTTCAGAAGGCAGAAGACATGGCTCGTGAGAATCAAGACAAGAACATCGACACAGTTTTGTTCTTTGACGAGGCCAACACTACTGAGGCACTGAGCATGATTAAGGAGGTGATGGTAGACAGAAGGATTCGTGGGCGACCCATAGGACGGGGCCTTGAGAGACTGCAGTTTATTGCTGCATGTAATCCTTACAGAAGGTGATATACTATGAATGTTACTCGCCTCCAGCTCTGTTAAAACGTCTCGTTGAAAGAATGCTTTAGTTTTACCACATGAGCTTAAAAGGTTTGATTTGTTCATGTTGAGGTGGGTCCTTGTCAAAGTTTACTTCCTGGAAAAGGAAAACTTTCATGACATTAATATTTTCCATTAATAGGTTCCGTTTTCTAAGACCTGACAAGGCACTTGCAAGGAAGCATTATAACGTTCTTCATTTCTATATAAAGGTATCATCCAGGGTCAAAAATAATCATTTTTCGAAATTTTCGATTTTTAGATGACTAAATAGAGCTCATCAAGAGCTTTCTTTTAAAAAAAATTCTAGGAAAAAATGTGCTTTCTGTGCAGGCTTATGGAACGCAAAAGTTTTTTCTATGCTAATTATTTTTATTGATCGTTGATAAGTCCTGTCATACTTGATATGCATGCCGCTGTTAAACCAAGTTAATCACGCAATTTGACAGAAATCGTGGTGACTGTTTTCCTGGATTTTGGAAGTGAATCAGGTGAATTCCTCCAAAGAAGAAAAAGAACTTGCCCGTTTTCGTCCTCGACTCCAAGACGAAAGAAGATGACAAAATCGTTTTGCAAAGAGTGGGCTTCGAAATTAGCAGAGAGCGACAACGGCTCCTAACACAGTCAAGAAAAATGGCTAAAAGATGACAAAGCTTCTGAAAAACCCATAGAAACTAGCAAGGAATCGAATTTCAGGAGTTTCTTAGCGAGCGGAGCGAGCTTTTTAGGCCGCAAAGCGGCCAAGCGAGTGACGAAGTCGCGATCAGAGGTCCCGCGCCATATAAAAATCGGACGAAGGACTTTTTGACAGTCTATTATAGCGCGAGAGAAGCTTCAAGAAAAACTCCAGGAAGCGGTATGTTGTCGATTTTGCCAGGCTAGTGTCGACCTTTTAGACAATGTATCGAGTAAAAGTGGGCTTGCCTCAAATTGGCTTGTCCATTGCGAAAATGAAAACTGCCCGTCCCACATCACTACTGAATGATCCTTTCTCGACAACAGAATATTGTTGTCCCTCCTCTGGTATGCATCAACATTGACAGCTTTGGTTTTATAATGAAAGGCTTCTCATTTCTGAATCGCGTTAATATTTTGATCATTTAAAAGGAATAAGCAATAATCTGGAACTAATTAAGCTTTCAGAAAATGTACGGTTTATGGGGGTATTTGAAAAAAAAAAACCAAAAAAACCAAAAAGCACTAGCGCCGATTAACGCGAGGAGAGTGCTTGAGGGTGGATGATACCTTAAACTAACAAACGAGTTTTAGAATTAAAAAACGAAAAGAAAGCAGGCTGTTTGTAATGGTAGTTTTATGGTGTTTGCTTTGCAGTCATCATGTGTAGAAAATGAAGTGCCAATTTTTGAAGGACACCCATTAATCCTACCTTTAATTAAACGTCAACCTTTGCCTCGGTTTCGTTAGTGAAAGCCCAGATGACTGAAAAAATACTAAAAGGAGACCTATGAAGACGTTTTCTTTTAAGATGACAAAAGTATAGCAAGGTGATATCCCAGATTTACAATTAATGTTTTAAGGTATAACCTTATTTTAGACACACGGACGATATGATTCACAAGTTGGAATCAGCAGGACTTGGCTACCATGTGAAAACGGATGAGTCAGACGATCGTCTTGGTATGAATTGAGTTTCGTAACAAGTACCCCGCTCAGTAATCGTTAGATACTCAATATTGAGTGAGGTTTTATTCACTGTGTTCAAAACTAGGAGGTGAGCGGATTTATCTTGTGCCAGCACAGGCATTTAATTACGTCTTTGGTGTCCCAAAACAATGAACGGCAGCTATGTTGGTTTCCTAAACCAGTCTTTTTCTTTTCTTGTTTTGTTACAATAAATTTGCCTAGTTGCGGGCCTTGTGAGTGGTAACTAATAATACGGTCGTAATGACAAGATCTTGAGCATATGAAATGAGCGTAAAAAGGTTGCCACTCCTTTATCGCATATAGACAGCGAAATTAATTTTATAAATCTCCAATAACTTCTTGCTAACCTTTACATGGTGTCAGTTTGCGACATTTAATTTAGGCTACCTACCTACAACTAAACAGAAAAAGAGAACTTTGTCACCTTTTTTTGTTTGTTTTGTTTTTTTATCATAGGACATATCCCGTTACGTCATCTCGTGTATCGCGTGCATGCTCTTCCAGGAAGTATGCGCCCTCTCATTTGGGATTTCGGCCGCTTGAATGACGAAGTAGAGAGCCTTTACACCTATCAGATTGTCTGTCGCTATGTGAGTACTTTTCAAACTTTGGCCGATTAACTAGCGTTGAACCAAAAACTTTCAATACTTGTATTACAATACGACAGAAAAAATATTATAGTATTCCAGGCGAGAACTGATTTAAATAAAAAGTTAACTGTTTATCGTCTAAAGCGTAAAGGTTTCTTTTAAAAAGAAAAATAAGAACTGTACGTGATAATTTTCATTTAAGCAATTTACCGCCATAGCCTTTGAGAAGATGTGCCTGGTCAATAGATTATTTATAAGCAGGTCATACTGAAAAAAGTAGTCAGGGGATGCGATATTCAAGTGTGAAATATAGTAGGGTCCGTCCAAGTGAAGTGGGATGTTGGCTTCAGTGGTAGTTTTGTATGTTTATTGTGGGCAGGTTATTGAAACAAAGTCTTACTTTAAAACAATCAGTAGACCCCCAGGTCGTTTCATGTATGGCTTGTTTTAAGTGGATAAATGTTTTTCTTGTGTGCTCTTTATGCCTTCCCGAAACCATTAACAGTGAATAGGCTTTATGTAGACTGCCCAATAGGAAGATGACTCGGAACGTGGTTTTGTTACGTAGCTGTTAAACTTTGTTTAAATTTCGTGACCCTCATTTTATTGTAGATTCTACACGAGGGTCAGTTGCCTGGAGATTCATCGACTGTCCAAGCAGTGTCAGCAGTGCTAGCGGCATCACAGAAGTACATGAGAAATCAGTCGGTGTGTTGTGGGATTTTTCGACCGAAATATATTTTAGGGCCTGATTTCATGAGCCTGGCTTTCTCACATTTTACTGCGTTGCCGAGATGTCGGCCCCTAGTTAATCGTAACAAAAATCATCTTTGTGATTACATGACGTCGAAACCAGCACAGCAACTTGACAAAGCGATCTAGCCCAGCAGACGGGGCCAGCCCGGATCGTGTGATCGTGTGATCGTGTGAACGAAAAAAGGGGTTACAATGGGAGAATGTGAAATACATTTCTCAAATTAATTGGTAATTCATGAAGAAAAAAATAAAGGAAATCACTATCGCGATGGTGTTTCTGGATACCGGATCTTGATTAAAATATACTTTACAAACTTAACCTTTGAATTTCTTCAAGAATTTTTGTTGATTGGAGAAGCTACCTTACTGGTACTTAATTTCGCGATTTTGGCGAGAGAGTATTTCGCGGGCTTTTTTTTCGCGCGATTTTAACACGCAAATAATCGTTC